TTATTATTCTAAGAATATTACCCAGTCATATGCAACTTAAAAAAATTATGTTTGAAATTTTTTTTTCTTTTTCTTTTTGTGTTTTGGTGGTTTTTTTGGGGGGGGGTCTTTTTGAGACAGGGTCTCCCTGTAGCCCCAGCTGTCCTGGAACTCACTATGTAGACAAGGCTGGCCTTGAACTCACAGCGATCCGCCTGCCTCTGCCTCTCGAGTACTGGGATGAAACTTTTATTCTTTCATTTTTTTCAGAATTTAATACACTAGTACTGTATTTATACTATTTCCATCCCTCCCTATCCCCAAACTCATTTCACATTTTTTAAATTTTTACAAAAACTTTCTAATTTCACATTTTACAGACACATACACACACAGAGAGAAAGAGAGAGAAAATTAAAATAATTTTTAATTAATAACTCCATTTAGTCTAGTAATTGTTATCTAATTTCTAGGCTCTTCATGAAGCATGTTGCTTTCTATAATTCTCTATGTTCTGTGAGACATAATTCCTTGTCATGGGGTATTTTGAATAAAAGACACATTTGACATGCAGAATTAAGGCATGCCGACGTTACATACACAGTGAAGTAGAAATATTTCCCCTGCTTCAGAAAATTGACATTGACACAGAAAGGATCACAGTATCTTCTCAATTAATTATGATTGTTCCAAAATGAATTTTCTATTAGTCACAAAAGATATAGCAGTGGTAGGCCTCTAAGTTATATAACTATTCTACATTTTTCTCTACTATATTACAAGGGATAATGGTATTTCCTTTAGAAATCTTTATGATTTACACAAAGTGCTCATTACTTGCTTGTAGCAGTTTGGGAGTTTCCTAATCAGAGATGAGCCTTTGCTATAAAAAAACAAAAACAAACAAACAAACAAATCCCTAACAACATAAAGCATTTATAACACATATTCGCTTTAAGGTGGATTTTAAAGTCATCTTGTATAGTAAGAATTGGAAATTGACAAGCACCCAGAGGCTTGAGTCCTGCATATCCATCAGCTGTGTATCTCACACAGAGGAGACAACCAAGCCCTGCCTTCTCTGAGAGCCAGAAATATAAAGCAGCAAGGAAAGAATGGACTAACCTAAAACTTTTTGCTCCACTGCCCACTGGGAGGCTCCAGTGGGTCTCTGGCATGTAACAGTGACGCCCATGGAATTTTCTCTTACAGATAAAGCAAAGGGACTCATTCAGAAGTAGCCACTATAATTGAGAACATTTTTTTTTTTCTGGATAAAAAGGAGAATGATGGTCTGAGGCCCACAGTTACTGAGTCTGTCTGGGGCAAAAGTCAGGTCCAAAGTGTTGCCAGAACCCTGAAACTGTTACATCTGTACTTTAAGTATTTGTGCATTAAGTATCATTTTGTGCTGCAAAAAAACTGGAAAGGAGATGATGGATATTAATTTTAACACATCTAGGACTCCATGGTTTCTCTCTCTCTCTCTCTCTCTCTCTCTCTCTCTCTCTCTCTCTCTCTCTCTCTCTTTCTCTCTCTCATCTCTCTCTCTCTCTTTTTCGCCTTTTAAGACAGGGTCTCCCTGTAGCCACAGCTGACTTGGATCTCGCTATGTAGACCAAGCCTCTCCTCTCCTCTCCCTTTCTTCATCTCTGTGCATACATTTTGTGTGTGATGTCATAGGATATATGTCTGTGGCCTTCTAGATATGTGGCAATTGAAATGTGGGTGAAAGATATTTTTGCAATTTTTCTAGACCTAACCAATTTTGGCATGTGGCTCACATGGAGCTGTTTGACTATGCTGCTCACTCCTATGACATAAAAATTATGTTAAGTTCATGCCTCTGCTTGCACAGTTGTAAAAGGTACACAGGAGTTGACAGGTATTCAAATTAAAATAAAATAAAATATTCTATGAACTCCACTAAGTCTGTCAGATTCTTTAGATCATCCTCAAAAAGAACAAAGAAATCCACTTTAACCATTAAATATGAGAACATGGTAAACTAAGTAATAAAGGGAAGCAAAACATGACTCAATTACAAATGCTTTCTTCTTCCATGAACGCAGTTTTCTCAGGGTTGCTCTTCTCTTCTGTGTTTAGATCCGGAGAGTTCAGTACATACCTGGGGTGAGCAGGTCTCTGCCAGCTGAGCAAAAGGCAAGAAGCATTTTATTTTGCCAGGTGGCATTTGGGACTTCCGAGTCAGAAGACATTTCCCTCAGGCTTTGGTGTGATTCCCTGTATTTCTAGGTTTAGGTTCTCTAGCAAGTCCAGCCTTAATTCTTTATTATGATAATAAAATTGACCTGTATCAGGGGAAAACTATTATTTAAAAACTGTAAAATGTATTCTAAGATTTATTTCTTCCATCAAAGCAGAAATTTTATTAAACTCAAGTAGCCACTTTATGTCTATACTTTATTTATTTAAAACTTCTCAGCTCAGGAAAATTTCACTGTGTGATAGAATTAATTTGTTTTCAGTGCTGCATATAGTATTCACTCTGTTAAAGCAAATACCTCTTTAGTATTCAGTATATTCAAAATGTTGTGCAGTCACTAATACTATGTAAGTTTAGAACAATTTTTATCACCTAAGAAATCTGTATTTACTTTTTTTGCTTGCTTGTTTGTAAACAGGGTCAGCCTGTATCCTTAGTGGGTCTGGAACTTGGTATGTAGAACAGTCAGGCCTCAGTCTCAGAGAGATTTGCCTGCCTCTGCCTCCAATTTGCTGTGATGAAGTGCATATGCAACCACGGTCAGATTACTAAGAGCCATATTTCCTTTCCCCATATGGAAATCTCAAAATATCTGTGTTATTAAGCTATGTTTTTGCTTATTCATGACAGAACATCCAAACAGAACTATCCAACATGTAGACATTCAGGACAGACTTCCTACATTTACCTTAAATTTTTCAAAATTAACTCAAGTTTTCATGCATTAGTTTATTCTGCATGTAATGGCTAAAGTGAATGCATATGCATAAACATACAAATATACGCGGATGCACATATACATTTAATCTATTTACTAGTTGGTGAGCATTCAGTGTATTTTCATTTTCTGCCTATTACAATATGTGCTGTTGTGTTCTTGAACACCAATGCAAGTGTTAAAGTCACTTTCTTTGCTCAGCATTGCCATATTCTCCCTCTCTCTTTCTACCTCTCCACCCCAGGTTTTATGCAAGTGTGTGTGTGTGTGTGTGTGTGTGTGTGTGTATGGTGTAAATTGTTGTAATATATGTGTGTGATGTGTGCTTTTGCGGCACATGGATGGGGGTGCACAGACCCATGCATGTGCATATGGGAGGCCAGAGAAGGATATCAGGTGTAGTCCTCTGTAGCTTCCTTTCTTATTCTTTGAGGCAGGGTCTCTCACCATTCCAGGCTCAGCTGGCTGACAGCAAGTTTTCTCTGTCCTCAAATGCTGTGTTTCAGGGACCACGTAGTAAAACTTGGCTCTTCGCATGAGTGCTGGACATTAAACATCAGGTTCTCCTGCTTATAGAGCAAGCCTTCTTGCCAGTGATCCATCTCCTCATGCCCAGCTTTCTCACATTTTTATCTCTTAACAAAATGGCACCCACCAGGTTGTTTTCAATGATGGTATCACTTTCTACACACATAGCACATTCTTTCCTTTCTTTTTTTTCCAGTTAATTGTTTATTTAATAACCACATACTTAGAAGAAGCATTTCATTACAACAGCATTGACATATTCAGTAACAATTTTCTGAGCTAAGATGAACCTTTTTCAAAATTGGCTGTAAATTTTTAGTTTTAAAGTTGAATTGTAACAGTTATATAATATTGCACTCAGTATAAACCCTATAAGACATAAAATTGATTGAGGTTTTAACCTTTAAAAAAGATCTCCATTTCATTATTAAATACACAGTTTCATACAGAAAAATTCATTTTCAATGCAATTGACATTAAGATGTTTGCACATGCATTTCTAATCTCTATATATCTGATTATTGCAAGTGACAGTCGGGTACTTTCTGAGTTTCTTGGCATCTGAGCATGGATATAAAGTCATCAGATAGATTTCAATGCTAATTTTTTTCACATCTATTAATTATTATTATTTTTTAATCATTATTTTTAAAATGTTTAATAACTACATGATTAGAAAAAGCATTTCACTACAGATTTAACATATTCAGTAACACACTCCAGAGCAAGAGTACATCTCTTTCACAAGTGGGT